CAGGCATTCGACAAAACCACAGACAATGCGATGTATGCGGTGACCAGGTGCTAGGATTGTTCTATAGATGTGCACTGTGTGATTTCGACTCTCACCCTATATGTTCGAAACTCCCCTGCAACGTGCAACACAACGGCCATCCTCATGTCCTAAAACTTCTTCCTAAGCCAGTCGTTAATGGCTACGCGCAAAATTCAAGTTTTTGTTTCGTTTGCGGCGGAGTTTGTTCATTGTGGTGCTATCAATGTTTGCCTTGTGGCGCAAATCTTCACCTCACTTGCGTTCTTACGCCAGTTGAGGATGAGAGTCAAGTGTTTCCTCCTCCACCTCATTTCACTCAGGAGCGAGGCCGGGTCTCAAATCCACCACCACCCATCTATACAAATCACAATCCACATGTTGGTAGTGCTCACTTGGGACCTCAAGCGCATTTTAATGCTCAAGATGAAGTGAATCAGAGACTGAGAAGAGGAGCATATGGTTTCATGGGGAAGTTGGTATTGGCTACTTTGGTTCATGGCATGGTTGGAATCCCATTCTTGTTTGGAAATTGAGGATTTGATCTTTTATTTAGTTTTCTTTGTGTGCAAATCTCTCTCTCTCTCTCTCTTTCATTTATGTATAAGCTTTCCAACAATGTATTATGGCTAAGTATATTCTCTCTCTCACTCACACACATTCACTCATTCACGCACACACATTCACATGTGCATGTAAGATTTCTATCATTATATAACGGCTAAGTATAATTATGACCTTTTTATAATAAAAATATGAATGGTCTTATAGTATACAATCCTGAAAAAACATGACTCATTTGTGCTAAATCCTTGGAAATTGGATTTCATAAAAATATTGTTAAGCTTTTTCTCTTTGACTAACAAACTACCACACTTCTTTTCCAAATCGCATTTATTACAATGGAGTTGTATACTTGACCGTTCACTTTTGCTACAAGGTCACTGTTATTCTTCTTAGTCATACAAATTGTATCACAACATTCGATAAGACTCTGTGCAGAGTCAGTAAATTGTATCACAACATTCGATAAGACTTTGTGTACACTCAATGACACATCTCCAACCACCAATTTCATATTAAATGCCCAATAATAATTATAACCTCCTTATATCAAAAAGTAAGTAGTTTGTTGTATACATTTCCTATTTTCACTACACTTTTTATTATTTATTTTTATTCATCTGCTAAGGCTTGTATAGATATGAGATGAGCCAACAGCAGTAAGGGCTCTAACCGTGTTGCAAATGCTGGCAGGGTCGTCCCATGCACGCCATCTTGTAGGGCATCAGTCTTATTCATGCTTCACAAAGGTGTACAAAGAGTGTTTCTGCTAAAGCATACGATTCTTTTGTTTCTTTAGACAAAACACCGATTTCTTTGTTAGGATTTAAGAACCCTTTTAAATGTGAAAACAATAATCCCAAATATTGATAAAACACACGCACCACAAGAACACAAATATTTACGTGGTTTACCCCAAGAGGGCTACATCCACGGCCACGATAAACTGAAATCCACAATACTAATGACAGTTATATTACAGATTTTGGGACATAGAATTACCTCTCTAGCCCTGACAAAATCTAGTCAAGTAAATCTTTTTAGGCCCAATCTCTCGATCTACTCGACTCGCCGATATCTCATCTCTATTCCGCAGTTAAACCACTGTCTAGGAAGAGATCCATCTCTATTCTACAACTAAACCGCTGTCCAGGAAGAGACCCTTGAAAGCAATCGAAACTTTCTCTCACTAAAAAGGAAAATCACCCAAAATCTCCATCGAAACCGCTTCTCTACAAGAAACCACGTGTTTCTCTCCATAAAAAGCTATCTTTTTTCTAAGGGGAAGCCTTGTCGATGCGGAAGAGGCCATGCCTTTCTCTTTAGAGAAAATCGTATTTCCTATATGGTGACCCAAACAGGGGACACCATTTATCTGCACTTTATACTAGTATATCGTAAGTATACATACTACGTTGCCTATAAAGAAAATTGGTGTCCCGCCATTTTGGAATCCAAAGTAGAGCTTTACTAAGACATCCTTCGAAGAAATGTGTGGTTTCCTCAATTTACCGTGTTGGATGCTTCCTCAAGGTGTGAGTGATTTAGGAACATGCGTGCAATTTTAATACCTCAATCGGTCTGGTCCAAGCCCAAATCTTTCTGATCTACAATGTATATGTTCTACACTTTCTCATGGACACTCAAAATATTGGTTACCATAAGACATTAAAAATATGGTTACCCATCCGTCTTGCCATTGATGAGTAGGGTTACGTGAGCTGTTCAAAAAAGTCATTGCATTGACTTAATACACTTTCATAATAATAACTTTAAAAATATAAAACATATCAAACTATAATCTGTCGGATAGAAATCATGGATGCATGAACTGGTTTGGATCCCCCCACCATCTCGAGTAGGGCTGTGATTCAAGGGACTCCTTCAACATAGGGATGATACTTCCCAAATAAATTAGCTAACTTGTCAGCATGATATTTGAATCAAAATGTCATTTTGAGGAACACCTAAAAGATGTGCCTTAAAAGAAATGTATCTGATCAGGCACCTAAAATAAAAGCAGCTGTCCAAATTTAGCAGAAATTAGAGTAAGTATGGAAGCCAGGCACATATTGCATTCGTCATTTATTGGTAAACATGACCTACCATTTGCAAGAGAGATAAGAACCAGAAAAGAGAGATAGAGAGGGAGAGAGAGCATGGCAGGCCCCTGCACGAAAATAGATTTCAAATACCTAGATCTTGTTCTCCAAAAAATGGACATTTCCTGTTCATTATCGGGACGTTATTTTTTTCAAGCACATAGAACACAGCAATTTGAAAAATCTTTTTTGTTTTTTTTAAGTTGATTGCTAGCTCAATTTGTCCTATCCCGAAAACTTGGGATCCTAAAAGTATTTCTAGCTTAAGATTTACCTAAGGTAGCAAATGGATTGCATGCTCCCACAGGGGCAGCGAACATTTTGGCCAAAAAAAAAAAAGTACCCATGAATCCATACCAATGTTTTGAAAATCAGAAATGGGCCTAAACCACTAGATGTCTGATTCCGATTCGCCCTATCTGACAAGGGTGATTCCCAAGTCAGGTTGGGTTATACATTACGGAGAAATAAGAAAGAAATAAGTCAAAAGCTGGGGGAATTAGAGCGATTCTGGGGTTCATCAAACTAGAATTGCCCAACAACCAATCCTGAACTGCATGGGGCGATTCTGAGTTAGATCGACTATTTTTCAAACATCGGTTACACCACTCATAGTGGAATTTTTAATGTCTGCCTAAAGGCATCCAAAGCACCACAAAGTCTAAGACTCTAAAATCCCCTTAAAACATGAATGAGAAAGCCATCCACTATGGAAATTAGTCTTAAAACAACAAAACATTGGTAATCTTCACCCAATAAACAAGGATACAGCCTAAGAGTTGTAAGGTAATTCGATGGATACAGGCATTGACTCAGCCAACAAACAGCATATATTAGCAGAGAAATTTACATCCCAAAAATCTTCAAATACATAGCTCTCTTGGTAGTAAACTCAATCCTCTTATCCGTGGTAGACTTTGGCTGTTCACATGGGCAAATCAGACGTAATATCATCTCAAAATCAATGGTCAAAGGATTGAAATCTACCCAGACTCCTTAGATTCCTATTGAATAGTCCTTTTACAGTTACCTAACCAGCTTGATCGCCCAAAATCGACCAAAAGTGCCATAACAAACTCATTTAGCTCATATTTCAATCAGGAAAACTCATTTCGCTCGCATTATGTGAATTAGGCAAATGATCTAAGCTCCACCAGTATCAATTCCAACAAATTGAAAGATGCATTTGTAAGATAGATCGATTATTAACAAAGAAAACTAGTTAGAGATAGAATTAAGAAATCCTAATTTTCATCAGGCCCCAGTTTTTCATGAAACATTTATCTAGAAATAGAATGTGCAGATTCTGGACCCAGAGAAATCATGCCAGTTTGATGGTTTATATTGTCCTAGATCAGCTAAGAATTACATTTGTTCAAGTTTTCATTTTACTGGTACCACATTATTCATAACAGGAATGACATAAATGAGCTCATGTTGAATATAAGAATAACTTTGTTGCAAGTATTTTGCTAGGAGCTCAATTGTATATGACTCAATGAATTAGCTCATGTACTAACAGCATAATGCTATGATCAAGAAAAAACATCATATTGCTCCATGAACCATGCTGTTCAATAGCACCTTTACACAGATTCATAAAATTCATATAAAATAGGCAGTTAAGGCACGTGAAAGAACTCACATTGGGAGGTTGCCAATACAATATGAGCTGCTTTCAGCTAGATCATCTCTGCAACTCTCAAGGCATTAGCTATTACTAAGCAGCTCCCCTGTTTCCTCTACAACTGAGCTTAATGATTTGTATCAATTCTTACTTAGATTGACAATAAGTGCAATATTATTTTAGAGATCCACAAAAAATATCTACGAAGTTAATGTGCAAAATCAATTTACGGCTTAAAAAATTGGACTTTTCGCACATAAATTCATAGGTTTTAAATAGGAATCAACGAATTGATTCAGAGTTAAAAAAAACTTGTAGGTCAAGCATGAATCACCCACTGAATTATCGTTGCAAAATTCCTCTATAGTGGTCGGTGTAGTTTATTCATTCTATAAAATGATACAATTACAAGTAAATATTCAACAATTATCATAGTTCCAATGCATCTTTGATTCAATTGTAACCAGATCATTCAATTGATGTAACTTTCGTATATAGAATGCAATCTCACAGTCTGTAACATGTTTACATAAAAATATTCTCCAATCTATTTTTTTCGTTTTTTCGTTTTTTCGTTTTTTCTTTTTTTCTTTTTTTCTTTTTTGCTTTTTTTCTTTTTTTCTTTTTTTCTTTTTTTCTTTTTTTCTTTTTTTTCTTTTTTTCTTTTTTTCTTTTTTTCTTTTTTTTCCTTTTTACTTTTACCAAAAAAAAATGATTGCAACCTTCACAAACAAGAACAATTATCATAAGCAGGAACAATTATGATGACAACCTTATCAAGACAAGACGTAGAATTAACCTCTATACCCAGATTGCATAGCAAATTTTGTTTTCTCTATTTTTTGTAAATGAACCAGTCTACATATCTTGCTCTTACCATTGAACAATTTAACAAATATAATAAGTCCACCAAGTAAGGTACTCCTCCATAATACACACTCCACCCATGCATAAAATGACTAGATAATTTGCAAAAGGAACCCAAATTCTAATATAATGCAACAATGCAGGATACCATCGAAATATAAAAAAAATAAATGGCAGAATTTAATACTAAATCCCTCAATCACCTCCAAGCAAAACTTTTATAATATTTGATATTTTAACAAAATCACAGAAGCGGAAAATAAGAGGGGAAAAAAAAAACAATTAAAACTCAGCACCTACACTCTTACATCTGAACCAAATTCTTAAAACACCTCAAAATTTTGTCGAAAGCAGCATGTATGAACTTGATCTCACTCTCTGGAAATATGCCAATGTAGAAAAGGAAAAGGCCAATTAGCTCACGTATCATTTCTTGAGGAGCTCATCAGGTACAACCTTAAGATGCTTCCTCTGCTTCGACTTCGCAATCTTCTTCAGAGTCTTAGGGTTTGTAATCTTCTGAAACTTTGTCCCACTCTTCAAAATATTTTCTTGCTTCCTCTTCTCTCTCTCCTCTCTCTTCTTCCTCTTCTCCACCTTGTTCGACCTAATTTCCTCCTTCAACTCAGTCATTCTCTCAGTATAAGCCTTCTTTATCTCCTTCGCCCTAGCTCTCTGCTCAAAAGTCGAACCCTTTCTGCTAACCCTAATCGATGATGCCCTAGTTTGCTTTGGTGCCTTCCATTTTCGACCTGAAACTTTACCCGCAATCGTTCCGTCGAAGGTGGGCCTCCCGTAAATGGGCTTTTCGGGGTTCTCAAGAGAAGGGATTGCTGCTCTCTTAGAAGAAGGCTGGTCCATTTCCATGGCGTCTTCTTCATTGTAGCCCTCACTGGCTACTCTCTTTCTTTTGCTTTTGGGTTGGAATTGCTCAGGGTCAGGGTTAGGGTTTTTGGGTTTGTTGCCTTGGCCTCCTAGGCCTTCGTCTAAGCATCTAAAATCAATGGTGGAAGCCATTGATGGAGATGACAGAAGCGTCTGAACAGTGAAATAAACGAGAAGGCGTAAATCTACTCTATATAAAGCAGGAGTTAGGGCACCACGCATGGGTCGTTCGAGAGCTTCGGGTGACCTAATTCTTTTTCTAATATTGGGCAATATTGAGAATACTGTTTATTTCTTCCTCGCTCAAAGCACCTACTTGGGAGAACTGTTTTGGTATAAAATTTTGCATAAGTTGCTTGATAGTTATTTTAATTTTAAGCTTTATAACAGTCAGTTCTAGTCTTTAAGAAATAGGTGCAGTTTGTATAGAGCCGATGCTCTAAACAATGAAAATAAAGAGCACCTTCAAATAGTGTCAAAAAATATAATTTTAATAGTGGAAATCTTTGTAACAGCATTATAATATATTTTTATCTTTAATCATTCTCTTATACAATTTAAAGCTTAAAAAATAAGGTAGATCGAGCATATCCATAAAAACTTGAAAATTATGAAAACTGACGGTCCAAAAATGCATTATAATCGGCGCTACTTCCAAAACTTAAAATCCATTCTTTTCTCATGTTCTTGAATGTTGATGATCAATTTTGGGCATCAAAATAATCTCTTCTAGTGAAATTTTTGAAGCGCGTTGTAACTTTATTGTTTAGAGCCTTGCACTTCTATAAACTTTTTTCTTTCTTTAGAAATTAGATGGTCTTTATTCAATTTTGAAGCATAGGTTTTTCTAATATATAGAGAGTTTATTTCGATTTTTTTTTTCAAGATTATTTTATGGGTTATAAATATTACATCCCAAAATTTGAGATCCAAAAACAATCTATAGCATATATTTTGCTTCAAGGACGGAAATGGATAGTATCTTCCAATAGGAGGAAGAAATCTTTTGGCTTTATTAATTGGAGGAACACAAACGTCCATATAAAAAAGGAAAAAGTTTATATAGACTCAAGGCTCTAAAGAATCAAATTAGAGCGACCTCAAAATTTTCATTAGAAGAGATTGTTTTGATGTCCAAATATCCTCAAATTTATCATCGCGACATCAAGACATGAGAAAAAAAATGGATTTCAAATTTTAGAAATAGTGCACCTTGTAACACATTTTGGACCGTCAATTTTCAAAAATTTTAAATTTTTATAGTTCTACTAGATCTACACTATTTTTTAAGCATTAAATTTTATAATTAAAGAAGAAAATATATTTTAAGGCTATCACAAAGATTTATAGTATTGCAACCACATTTCTCGATACCATTTGAAAGTGTGCTTTATTTTGATTGTTTAGAGCCTCGGCTCTATACAAAGCACACCCAAAAAACATGGAGATAGTTTTTACGTCATAATAATAAGAGAAATTGATGAAATTAGACATAAATAAATATAAATGAATAGGTAAAAGGCAGCTGCCAAAGTAAATAAAAATAGAAAGAAGAAAAATGAGTCTATTTTATGAGGTAACCAATGGTATAACATACAAATGGATAGCGTGTTCTCTTGGATGTATATGATCCCTCCTCACAAGATCTTAATAAAAACTTAAATTTCAATTTTTTTCCCTTTTAATTCATTTAAAAGTAGATTTTAAAGTTTAAATACATAATATACTACTAAATAGTTTTTTTGTTTTTATGGATCAACTATACTGTTTGTTCTTAAGGGAATATATTAGGCAATACTTTTATATATGGATGGGTGATGTAATAAAGTGCAAAAGTTGAATACTATGTATTTTTACCTTTTTATATAATGTAGTTGCAGATTGCACAAAGTATAAGAGCCATATGTGTTTATATGCTTGATTTGTTATGTAATATAATTGCATGCTGCACAAGGTATAAAATAGATATGTATTTATATACAATTTTAAACTAACCAAACTAATCAAAATTTGACTTGTCTGATATCGTGTCTAAAATCAATATTTAAAGAGTTGAAATAGGTGAGCTCCACAAAATTAAGATTTGTAGAGAAATCAGCCTCAAAGACCTAATCTTTGTAGATCTGCAGCCGAGTTGGCTTAGGTAGTGTGAAATCCAAAAGAATCAAAAAATTAATATTAATAATAACATAACTACTGAAATAATAAAACTATATTGATAGAATTAAAGAAAATAATAAAGTGAGACAAGATATAGAAAATAAATCAGAAAAGAAAGAAGGAAGATGAGCACCATATGCGGTACCACATTACACAGATTTTTCTAGGATTTGGGTTTTCATTGTTTGGCTAATTTTGATAAAAAAAAATATCGATTTGACAGATCTTGTAACATTCACTCTCTAAGAACTTACCTATTTTGGTTGGTTTGATTTCCTAAGCTAAAGATTTAGGATTTCTAAGGATATTTGGCTTCCTAAAATGGGATATTCTTGATCTTTGGCATATGCTCAAAATATTCAGGGCTTGACTATGGAATGAGGTTGAGTATGGTTCAGTGTATCCCAGTGTTAGAAGAATGAGCCGAGTTGACTAGTCAGTCATGAGCCGATCCAATTAGTCGAGCCGATATGCCCAGTTTTCTTTTGGAAAAAAAGAATGCGGGTAAAAGTTTCCAAATAAATTATAAGAAAATTGAGAAAAAAATGTTTAAATTTTATATGTATTGTTTTTTATATTGTCACACAAATAAGAGAAACAAATAAAAAAAACATTATAGGCGTAATTTGGTTCGGGACAAAAATTTTAAAACAAAACAATATATTTTCAATAATTGAAGAGAGAGGGAGAGAGAATGAGGTTAGGGGCTTAGTGCAGCCCCTACCCTCAAAGAGAGAGAGAGAGAAAAAGAGAGGGCGGGGGGGTTGGGGAAGGAGTCAACAGAGAGATAAAAAGAGAGGGAGCGAGAGAGAGAGAGAGAGGTTGGGGCAACCCCAGCCCCAATAGAGCGAGAGAGGGGTTGGGGAAACTTGCCCCAATCAAGGAGAGAAAAACAGATTAGGGTAAGGCCCCAACCGAGAGAGAGAGACAGAGAAAGGGAGGGTGGAGCATGTCGCCCTAACCAAAAAGAGAGAGAGAGAGAGAGAGAGAGAGAGAGAGAGAGAGATTGGGGCAGCTTGCCCCATCTGAGAGGGAGAGTAGTTTGGGCAAGCTCTACCTCAACCTAGGAAAGAGAGAGATGGTTTGGGGCACGTTGCCCCACCCCAAAGAGAGAGAGTAGAGACCTAAAAATTTTATAATCAACCTACAAAAAGCTTTTTACATGCCTTCCCCACAACAGTGCAAAATCTACCGATTTTTTCAATGAATCATCGATTAATATACAAAGCGGCCGATTAGTGCTTATTAGTATATAATCGGCCTATTTGTAAACTATATTGGCTAATTAGTGCACTGTATGGAAATATCACAATAGATGGCTTGTGAAATCGAGCCTACTAGGGCTCGACTAGTGCCCAAGTCAGATTTAGTTGGCCGATTTGTAAAAGGCCGATCGACTTTTCCAAAACCGGTGTGTCCTATGGTGTACTGAGATAGTGTAATCTAGGGTATTAGAATTAAAAAATAAAGTTAAATTTTGAAGGAAGTCTACAATACAGTGACAATAAATCATGTGTTTCATAATGACACGAATAGTAGTAGCCAGTGTTTCGACCTGAATTGGTGGGGTGGATCGTCCACTCAAAAATAATGTTGAGGATAGCTAATTTTGATCATTATTTTTATTTTCTGTACCTACATTTTTTACTTCAATAAAATGTGATGCAAATAGCTATCTCACTATCACATAGTTTAAATTTAAGTGTATAAGGCTTATGAACTTGTCAAATCTTTTGTGTGATTTTGACTCTTAATTTTGGGAATCACACGTTTTTAATATGACCGGCTTTGGAATAACATACTTTTGGTGTCATAATTTTTTTTCCCCTCTTTTTTTTTGCTATAAGCCTGTCAAACATTTCTCTATATAATGTGAGGCTAACCTTTAAAGACCAAAATTTGAAGATAAATTTGTTTAGTGAACTGATGATTACATTAGATGATAGAATAGGTTAGGACATTGGAGGAGACTAAAATAGTTTATTGATTTTATGTGATTTTTTTACTTGCTTGTTGCACTAAATTTTTTTTAAAATTGAGAGTATAGGGTAGAAAAGCATTAAAAAATTTCTTAAATTGAGAGTATAGGGTAGAAAAGCACAAAAAAAAATTCTTAATAGAGAAGAGTAAAGAGTGGGGAGAGAATTACTACTGTGTCAAAATGATCGACCGCATCGAGAAGGGGAGAGGAGAATAGCTAAACAATTTTATGTTACAGAGAAATTTCTCCTCTAAACAATTTTAAGTTAAAAAGAAATAAGAGAAAGTAAACAAAAAGCTAAACAATTTTAAGTTATTGAAAAATAAGAGAGGGTAGGGACAGTGAAGCAGCCAGCAATAAAAAGATTCTCTAAATTTTCAAAGTTACAGAGGTAGAATAGAACTAGAGATGTAGAAAGTTACAGAGGTAGAATAGAATTAGAGAGATAAAAAGGTAAAGGCTAGATAATTTTAAGTTAGAGAGAAAGTTACAGAGGTAGAATAGAATTAGAGAGATAGAAAGGTAAAGGCTAGATAATTTTAAGTTAGAGAGAAAGAAAAACTGAGGCAATATAATAAAAGCAATAGCAACCTCAAAGGGGAGAGAAAGAAAAAGTAATTTAGCTTTTTCAAGAAATACTAGAAAATGGGAGTGCGATTTTGTATTGAATTTGTTACTTAGATTTTTTTCTAGAAGGTGCAGATAATACTCTTTTCTATTAATGGTACATATGAACCACTATTCCATATGATCATGGCTCTTTTGAAATATGTAAGCCTATCTCTATTATTAATATGAAAATAACCATTTCATATCATCATGTCTCTTTTGAAATATGTATGTGTATCTCCATTATTAATTTGAAATTGTACACTAAATGTAGATCCAAATGTATTGTATACGAGCTATATAATTTTCTTTGGTAATTATCTTTTATCATTGCTAGGCAAACAAATTCCAATAAAAAATCAGTACCGTATACGAGCCATATAATTCCTTTTAGTAATTATCTTTTATCATTGCGAGGCAAACAAATTCCAAAAAAAAAAATTTATAGGAGAGAGAATGAGAGATAGAAACTCAATCTAAAAAAGGGAAAATTACAGAAACCCCTCCCAAAGTATACTATCCAGCTTTCCCGAGCTAACGTTTCCTCTCACTTTT